CTCTCTCTCTGCCCCTCCCCCGTTCATGCTCTGTCTCTCTCTGTCCCAAAAATAAATAAAAACGTTGAAAAAAAAAAAGATTTTATAATTTTATAATCTTTAGATGCAATTAAGAAAAAAAAAGTTAGCTTTATTTTTTTTAAGCTCACTTATTTTGAGAGAGAGAGAGAGAGAGAGAGCGCGAGAGCGCACAAGCAGGCCAGGGCAGAGGGAGAGGGAGAAAGAGAATCCCAAGCAGGGTCTGTGCTGATAGCTCTGTGCTAATGGTGAGATCATGACCTAAGTCAAAATCAAGAGTCTGTCACTCAACCAACTGAGCCACCCAGGTGCCTCTGTAACTTTCAACTTAGTTTCACTTTTCTTATTGATTTATGGCTTAAATAAGTAAGATATTTTTTTAAAGGAGTGCACTAGCTAGAATGATCACCAGGTATTGTATGTAAGTACTGAATCACTAAATTGTACACCTGAAACTAATATTACATTGTATGTTAACTAACAGGAATTTAAATAAAAACTTAAAAAAAATATCTTATTGGTTTTGTTAATGTTAAAAGTGTATATGTCTGGGGCGCCTGGGTGGCGCAGTCGGTTAAGCTGCCAACCACTTCAGCCAGATCTGCTGGAACCGCTGGGACAGAGTCTCACATGGCTGGCTCTGGCTGATGGGTTCAGAGCCTGGAGCCTGCTTCCGATTCTTAGCCTCCCTCTCTCTCCCCCTGCTCATGTTTGGCTCTCTCACAAAAATAAATAAATGTTAGGTGGTATAAATTGTAGAAATCTATTAAGTTACCGAAACATGAACTAAAGTGTAAGACTCGCCCATAATTCCTTTATGGAAAGACAACCATTTAGCATATTCTTCCGAAGGCCTTTTTAAAAATTCATAAACTTTTGGGACGCCTGGGTGGCTCAGTCAGTTGAACGTCCAACATCGGCTCAAGTCATGATCTCATCGTTTGTGGGTTCAAGCCCCGTGTCAGGCTCTGTGCTGACAGCTCAGAGCCTGGAGCCTGCTTCAGATTCTGGGTCTCCCTCTCTCTCTGCCCCTCCCCTGCTAGTGCTGTCTCTCTCTCTCTCTCTCTCTCTCTCTCTCTCTCTCTCAAAAATAAGTAAACATTGGGGCGCCTGGGTGGCTCAGTCGGTTAAGCGGCCGACTTCGGCTCAGGTCATGATCTCACGGTCCGTGAGTTTGAGCCCCGCGTCAGGCTCTGTGCTGCCAGCTCAGAGCCTGGAGCCTGTTTCAGATTCTGTGTCTCCCTCTCTCTGACCCTCCCCTGTTCATGCTCTGTCTCTCCCAAAAATAAAATAAAGTGTTAAAAAAAAAAAAATAAGTAAACATTAAAAAAAGTTCATAAACTTTTTTTTACATATGAAATTGTATCACACAGTCTGTTCTGTGAACTTTTTACTTATTTAATTCATTCATTTTTATTCTCTTTGATTCCTATTGTAAATAACACAATTATTATACTTTAAGTTTTATTTAGAAATTGTTCTTTTAATTTTGTCTTAACTCACAGCTTGGGTTGTAAAAAAATATGTAAGATAATGTAGATAAAACATTTGGAAACATATCTGGCATTCAATAAAAAGTAGCTGTCATATCCCCGATCCCACTCATTTATGCAGCACCAAATAATGAGGTGCTAATCAAGAGAGGCCAGTCACAGATGGGCTAGAATTTAATAATTTCTTCCACATGTGAAATTAACTAGCTATCCCTAAGAAATACTTCAATAACTCCTCAAAATTTCTAATATATAAATCTGAATTAGATACATTTCTAACTAATTCTAATATAAAACATTCCCATGGAATATAAATAAGTTTTTGAAAACCATGTGTTTTGACTAATTTGTGGGTCCTAAAATCAATTTTGTGAATCTCAATTAGCATTTGTCTTTGAATGAAATGGAATGGAATAGAAAATGCCAGAATGTACACACTATTTCAGTTATGTGTCTATGGAGTCAGGATATAAAATGCATTGAAAAAATTTTTTTTAAATGTTTATTTATTTTTGAGACAGAGTGTAAGCGGGGGAGGGGCAGAGAAAGAGGGAGACAGAATCCAAAGCAGGTTCCAGGCTCTGAGCTGTCAGCACAGAGCCTGACATGGGGCTTGAACCCATGAACCATAAGACCATGACCTGAGCCAAAGTTGGTCACTCAACCGACTGAGCCATGCAGGGGCCCCTAAAATGCATTTTCAAGTGTGATTTGTGGTCAGAAATTTTAAAAGACAGTGAAGTAAAATCTTTCTTAGGTAACTATAAGTGAACAAGATAACTAAAACTTTTGTTATTAATAATTCAGACTCAACCATTTATGTGGTAGGCAGTACAATGGCCTCCAAAGATGTCCAATATCCTAATCCTTGGTACCTGTGAATATGTTATCTTACTTGGCAAAGAGACATTTTAGATGCAGTTAAGGACCCTGTGATGGGGAAATTATTCTGTATTATTGGAGTAAGCCTAATCTAATCACACTGGGCCTTAAAATCAGAGATATGACTAGAGAAGAATGGTCAGAGACATGCAACATTGCTAGCTTTGAAGATGGAGGAAAGAGATCACAAGCTAAAGAATATGGCTAACCTTTAGAAACTAAAAAAGGCAAGGCGGGGTGCCTGGGTGTCTCAGTCACTAGAGCATGTGACTCTTGATCTCAAGGTGGTGAGTTCGAGCCCTACCTTGTGTGTAGAGATTACTGGAAGAAATACATAAACTAAATAATAATAATAATAATAATAATAAAAAAGGCAAAGAATTACATTCTCTGCCAGAGCCTCCAGAAAGGAATTAAGACCTGCCAACACTTTGCTTTTGGCCTAAATGTCTAACCTAAAGAGACATGTGTTGGACTTCTAGCCTACAGAACTCTAAGATAGTAAACTTGCGCTTTTTTGAGCTACTAATAAATTTGTGCTGATTGGTTGTTGTTTGTTTATTTATTCATACTCAAGTATAATTAACACACAATGTTATATTAGTTTCAGATGTACAATATAATGATTCAACAATTCTACACATTTCTCAGTTCTCATCAAGGTAAGTGTACTCTGAATCCCTTCTCTCTTTCACTCATCCACCCACCTACCTACCCTCTGGCAACCACCAGTTTGTTTTAAAACTAATACAATATAAGTTGTATTAACTTAAATTTCCTCAGAAAACACAGGTCACAAAGTATAGTTGAAAATCAGGGGATAAAAGAGAGAAGTGAGAAATTACAATTTTGTAGCTCTCTAAGTATAATTCACAATTTACTAAAGTTAATAGTAGAGGTTATGACTCTTACCATAGGTGTCCATGGAATATCTGAAATGTGGGAAAAACCTATTTACATTCTTTAGTTCTTCCACAGTTAGATCTCTGAACTTGTACTGAAAAGAGAAAGATGAGAACCAAGTAAGAATCAAGCTACAAGCTGCAGAACGATTACAATTAGCACTGAACAGAACACCATGTGCTAGGCCCCCGGCTCTGAGTTTTATGAACATGGATAGTATGTGATTTACTCTTTTTAATAATGACCCCATGAAGTAGGTAGCAGGGCTTATGACTGCTCTACTTTACAGAAGATGAAAATGAAAGCTAGAGAAGCAAACTAACTTGCTGAGTTAGACAGTTAGAGTCAAGCCAGAGCTCAAACTCTGGACTTGGGCCTTTTATCACTAAATTAAACTAAATTTCCAAATACCTCCTGAAAGCTTAAGAAAGAGGGCAGGAGCACCACCCCTGTCACCACTATTCAAGATCCAAGTCTCCTCCTTGAATACCTCATTCAAGGAATGAGACACCCTGAATTCCCCTCCTAACCCTCCTGGCACTGCATCCTGGGTTTCAAAGGGAGAACAGACATCACTCAAGGGTTTGCAGTCAAGTTGAGTCAACTGCCTCTTTATTCATCCAGATGTACTCCCAGAAATACTACCTTGGCAAAGTCATTTAACTTCTTTGAACTTATTTCCTCATTTGCAAAGAGAGCCACCTCCTAGACTTGTGCTGAGGATTACATGAAGGAAAGAAAAAGTATGTGAAGAATCTATTATCAATCTCAAAATGAAATTTGAGGAGATAGTTACATTTGCAATAGTATCAAAAAGAAAAAAACTACTTAGAAATAATTTGAACAAGATGTAAAACTTAGTGTAGAAACTACAAAACATTGTTGAAAGAAATTAAAGTATATCTAAGTAAAAGAAAGCCATCCCTTGTTAGTAGATCAGACGACTTGCTATTGTTAAGATGGTAATATTCCCCAACGGATTCAATAATCAACAATCCTTATCAGTATCCCAACTGGCTTTTTGTTTGCAAAAATTTACAAATCGATCTTAAAATTCAAAAAATTAAAAACAGAATTACCCTAGCAAAGGAAACAATCAGCAAAACTAAAAGGCAACCGAGGGAATGAGAGAAGATATTTGCAAATGACATATCAGATAAAGGGTTAGTATCCAAAATCTATAAAGAACTTATCAAACTCAACACCCAAAAAACAAATAATCCAGTGAAGAAATGGGCTAAAGACATGAATAGACACTTTTCCAAGGAAGACATCCAGATGGCCAACTGACACATGAAAAAATGTTCAACATCACTCATCATCAGGGAAAGACAAATCAAAACCACAATGAGATACCACCTCACACCTGTCAGACTGGCTAACATGAACAACTCAGGCAACAACAGTTGTTGGCAAGAACGTGGAGAAAGAGGATTGCTTTTGCATTGTTGGTGGGAATGCAAATTGGTGCAACCACTCTGGAAAACAGTATGGAGGTTCCTCAAAAAACTAAAAATAGAACTACCCTGCGACCCAGCAATTGCACTACTAGGCATTTATCCAAGAGATACAGGTATGCTGTTTCGAAGGGACACATGCACCCCCATGCTTACAGCAGCACTATCGACAACAGCCAAAGTATAGAAAGAGTCCAAATGTCCATTGATGGATGAATGGATAAAGAAGATGTGGTACAGATATACAATGGAGTATTACTCGGCAATCAAATAGAATGAAATCTTGCCATTTGCAACTACGTGGATGGAACTGGAGGGTATTATGCTAAGTGAAATTTGTCAGAGAAAGACAAAAATCATATCACTTCACTAATCTGAGGACTTTAAGAGACAAAACAG